ATTTCAAACGAAGGCTCCAATACTGAAAGAAGGCGTGGGTTTCTGCTGTCCCCTGCTGGTGGCTTGGGGCGAAGCCTTTGGAAAGCGAATGTTCAAGTGGTGCTTTCTGCGGGCCAGGAGAATGGGAGGCAACAGGGTGTAACAGGCACAGGTTCTAATCCTGCCTCCACCACATACCAAGTGTGTGGGCTCGGGCTCCCCTCTTCTGCAAAGTGGTAGAAATAGGGCTGGCCTGTGGCTCACTGGGTGAGTGTGGTGCTGACAACACCAAGTCAAGGGTTAAGATCCCCTTACCGGTCATCTTAAAAAACAAACAAACAAACAAACAAACAAACAAAGGGGGAGAAATAATCAAAACCCACCTTGCTGGTTGTGGCAAGAATAAAAACCGTTCATCACAAGCAGCACATAGTAGGTGCTCAAGAAATGTAAGGCTTTATTGTGTGGCTGTAGCATGCTCCGGGGGAAAAGAACCTGCTCAGAGTTGTAAAGAGCAAATTGTGTTAAATGTAGGTGCTTTCCCTTAAATACCTCCTGTCCTTGCCTTTTCCCTTCTTTCCTTTTTTTGAAAAAAAAAAAAAAAAAAGTATACAAATTTCTAATTACCTAAAGAATGAATTAGCATTACTTTTTATTATAATAAATTATATATATATATATATTTACGAATAAACATTAGTATTAGTATTAATAAATGTGAGGGTCATGGAAATAGAATTAAAAGGTAATACGAAGCTGGCTGGTTAGCTCAGTGGTTAGAGTGCGTTGCTGGTAACGCCCAGGCCCAGGGTCCAAGCCCTGTACTGGCCAGCTGCCAAAAAAAATTTTTTAAAGGATAATACAAATCTTTCCATGAACATTTTGAAGACCTCTCATATATATTAAAAAATCTATAATAAATTATGTTTGCCTTATTAATAAATTTTTAATTTCCTAAATAATATACATACTTTCCTAATGAACATGTTCACCCTGGAAAGGTTGCAAGTAAGACTCAATGCTGCGTCCAGGCTCCCGATTCTGCAGCCCCCAAAGCCACACTTGTCATCCTTCTGGTGGATATACCGTTAATCCTTTCCTCTCATTCCTACAATCACACACATGTCTCCGGACAACATATGGTATCTTTTTAAAAATGGATCGTTTCCTACTGTGAGTATTTCCTGGCAACTCTCTTGTTTTCATCTCACCACATGACTTGGGGGTGATTCCAATCTTTTTATCAGCTGCATAGTATTCCGCTGGGGTGGCCACCTTTCAAGGTGGCCCCAATGACTGCTGGTGTTCATGTGCTTGTGTAATTCCCTTCCGCTGAGCATGGGCTGGACTCAGTGACTCCCTTCTAACAAAGCAGAAGTGAAGATGTGTGATTTAAAGACAAGTCGTATAACACAGTGGGCTCTGTCTCTCTGGGATCACTTGCTCTGGGGGAAACCAGCCACCATGCTGTGAGGAAGTTCAAGCAGCACTATGGAGAAGTCCACATGGTCGGGAATGGAAGCCTCCTGCCAACAGCCACGCAAGGCAGCCAGCTTGGAAGTGGCTCCTCCTGCCCTAGTCGAGGCTTCAGATGAGGCAGCCCAGGCTGACAGCTTGACCGCAACCTCAGGAGACACCCTGAGCTGAAACCATCCTGCTAAATTGGTTCAGGATTGTTTCTGACCCACAGAAACTGTGTGGGTCATATAATAAAGGCGTGTTGTTTTAGGCTGCTAAATTTGGAGGGGGTGGTAATTTGTTATGCAGCAACAGCTAACTGGTGTATAGGACTTAGCCACTTACTCCCAATGAACACTTATAGACAGAGAGCCTGGAGTTTAAGTCCCTCAGGTCACTCACTCTCTCTGGGCCTCAGCCTATGGACTTATCAGGTGGGGATGTTATTAATAGAACACACTTTATGGAGTCATGGCAGATTAAGTGAGCTGAGTCACATAAAACACTTAGACCACCCACCAGCCACCAACAAACAAACAAACAAACAAACAAAAGTTTAGACCATTGCTTTCTGATTAAACTTTCTTTTTTTTTTTTTTTCCTTTTTGTCTTTTTTCGTGTCCGGCAACGGATCGCAACCCTCAGTGTCGCACCCGTACTGGACCGGGACCGGCAACGGGATCGCAACCCTCAGTGTCGCCCCCGTACTGGACCGGGACCGGCAACGGGATCGCAACCCTCAGTGTCGCCCCCGTACTGGACCGGGACCGGCAACGGGATCGCAACCCTCAGTGTCGCCCCCGTACTGGACCGGGACCGGCAACGGGATCGCAACCCTCAGTGTCGCCCCCGTACTGGACCGGGACCGGCAACGGGATCGCAACCCTCAGTGTCGCCCCCGTACTGGACCGGGACCGGCAACGGGATCGCAACCCTCAGCCCCGCGCCCACCCCTCGCTCAGCCAGTGAGCGGGAACCGGTCTGTATGTGGGATCCGAACCCTCGGCGGGAGCGCCACCACACTCCCAGGCGGTGCACTGTAGCAGTGCGCCACCGGGCCGGCCCCTGATTAAACTTTCTGCAGTGATGGACAAATGACTACTGAGCCCTTGAAATGTGGTTTAGTGTGACTGAGGAATAGAATCTATAATTTTATTTAAATTTAAATTTGAATAGCCACATATGGCTAGTAGCTACTGGATGACACAGGCTTGAAACGATGTGTGGCAACAGTAAGCGCTTAATAAATGCTTGGTAGAAATATTATACTCCAGAGGGCCAATTTATGGCCCACCAGCAGTGCGGAGGTCACCCAGGCATCCTCTTGGCACCTGAGTTTGATCGTGCCTCTTACCTGCTCAAAGCCCTTCTATGGCTCCCCATTGCCCTCAAGAGAATGCCCAGATCTGCCTAATCTCATTTTGATTACAACCCTTAGCACATCCTGGAATTACTTTTTCTTGAAGGGGGGAGATTCTTTTTGGTTTTTGTCCATCTTCTTCCTAGATGGGGGCCTTGGGAGAGTGGGGTCATGATTCCACACACAGTAGGTGCTTAATAATGAAAGAACCTACTCCAGGCCCCGTGGATCTCTGCCTCTTTGCCCAGTACTGCTGTCCTAGCCAATCATCCCTGAAACACACAAGGTGTCCAGCCTCTGAGCCTTTGCCCAGTCTGTTCCTTCCACGCAGAAAGCCCTTCCAGGCTGACTCAGATTCAATCTTCCAGCCGTCACCCCAACTCAGCCTCATTCTCTCTGTGGGTGCTGGAGCAAGGCACTTCAGGTCTCTGAGCCTCAGTTTCCTCAATTGTAAATTGGGATGAGTTGTCAATATGATGAAAAGAAGTGGTTTCTGAGCGGGATACTAAGTAACTCATTAAACCGAGTGATTAGTATCACTCCTGTGAATTGTGAGAGGCTCGGCTGGGGTGTGGCCATCTGTACCTATTCACACTCTATCCCCTGGAGGCCAGTGTCCCCCACCCTGAGTCTCAGAACTTCTTAAAAATCTTTTTCTTCAGAGGGACTTTGAGGCCTCCACTGGGTTTGGGTAGGGGGAGGCTGTAGGCATTTTTTTTCCCCCAGCCAAAGCCACATCTATCTTCCCACTCTCCCCATTCATTCATTAAAACCCCCCAAGGTTATGCAAGGCCAGCCTTGTCTTCGGGCTGACCCCATTGCCTGCCTCCTGATGCCCACGTTGCGTCTGGCTCCTGGAGAGTCCGGCTTCTGACAACAGCTAGGTCTCACTTCCCTGCCCCTCTCAATGTCAAGCTGTGCCCTCTGCCTGGACCAGTCTTCCCAACTTCTCCCTAAGCAAGTCTCTACTTCTTCAGTTTCACCTCCTCAGGGACACCCTCCCTAGTGTCCTCAACTGAGTCAGACCCAACTGGGGATTGTCTCTCTCAGCGTTCCAATTCCAGATCTATCGTGTAACACACGTGGGCGAGGATGAGATGTGAGAACGCTCATGCACAGCAGGTGGAAATGTAAGACGGTGTCGTCTGGTGGTTCCTCAAAAAGGTTAAACACGGGGTTGCCATTTGGCCCAGCGATCCCTAGATATACGCTTCAAAGAAATGAAAACATACGCCCACACAAAAACTTGTAAAGCATTATAAAGCCAAAAGGTGGAAGCAACCCCAATGTCCATGATGGATGAATAAACAAACACAGTATGGTCCATCCACGCAATGGAATATTACTCAGCCATGAACAGCAATGAGGCTCTGACACACGCTACCACATGGGTGAACCTTGAACACATCACGCTCCATGAAAAGCCAGGCACAAAAGGCCACACAGTGTGTGATCCCATTTACGTGAAACGTCCAGAACAGGCCAGTCCACAGAGACAGAGAGTGGATTCGTGGTTGCCGGGGACTGCGGGAGGGGGTGGGTACTGACTGCCGATGGATACAGCATTTCCATTTGGGGTGATGGAATGTTCTGGAGTTAGGTAGTGGTGATGGTTGCACATCATGAATGTACTAAATTCACTGGATTGTAGACTTTAAAATGGCTAAAATGATCAATTCTGTGATGTGAATTTTACCTCCATTTTTCAAAATGATACGATGTATTGCGTGGTGTCTCTCTCCCCGGCTGGACCGTCTCCATGCGGGCAGAGACCAAAGCTGTCCCACTTCCAGCCGCGCCCCTGGTGGCCAGCACAGTAGGTGTTCAGTGAAGGTTTGCTGAATTGATAAATGGATGCGTGGAAGATCAGCAAATATCTGCACCCACTCTGCTTGAGAAAGAACTCAGGGGCTGGCCAGCTACTCGGTGGCTAGAGCGTGGTGCTGATCACACCAAGGTCCAGGGTTGGGATTCCCCGTACCAGCCAGACACCAAAAATCAAACAAAACCCTACATTGCTTCGACTTCTGGATGCACCGGGTGGAACCCCACGTAGCAGAACGTCAGACCCTCCTCCTCAGGATACCCGCTCCCGCACCCCCACCCCTGAGTCTGGATTGCTTTCTATCCCAGCCACCCGAGGGGGCCAGATGCACCCGGTCTTCATCCACGACAGAGGGGAAAAGAAGGGGGGAGTCAGCCCTTTAGCAAGTAAAACTTTTATTAAATAAATTTTTAGTTTTTTCAGACCAGAGAGAGGAGTTTGGGACATTAAGACGGCGCTTGCTGCTTTGAAACACGCGACAGTGACAAAAACCTCTCCAGCCACGGGAAATCTTTGACAACGAAGTTCAAACCAAGTCCACCCAAAGTTCCCTCTAAGTCCTTTTCTTTTCTTTCTTTGTGAGTGTGTGTGTGTGTGTGTGTGTGTGTGTTTGTCTCCAAAAGTCAGTTTGCAAGTTGAAACTTCATGAAATTACTCGTAGCAGAAATAAAGTACATCGTACAAATCACGCAGGTCTTCAAGGTGGCGTATAAAAATGGTATTTACAGCCAGTAAACACGGAGCAGAACCGGCACCACAGCACAGCAGCACGCACTCCCAAGCAGCCCCGCGGGGGCATGGCGGGTGCCGGGGACACAGAGGGGACCCCCGCGAGGACTCTCGGCACACGCTCGCACACATAGACGCACAGGACACAGGCACGCTCTAGAGGGTCTTGGAACAATTATCAAACTCTGGAATATCGAAACAAGTTGACCAGATTTTTTTTCTTTTCTTTTCTTTTTTTTTTTCTTTTTCTTTCTTTTTTTTTTTTTTTTTTCCAGGTCAGTCAACACATTTTGGTAGAAACAAAAGGGAACACTGTGTGTTTTGTGTTTTTTTTCCTCTTAAAAAAAATTTTTTTTTGAGCTTATTAAATTATCTGGTGCCTCGTCTGGCAAGAGGCCCGACTGGACGTCCCAACAAACTCGACTCTGTGCTTCAACGTGGATGTCACGGGTTGGGGAACCCACCAAGACCCGTCCTCCCCCCACCCCCCCAAATTACAAAACAAAAATCCATTGTTTTTTAATTTTTTTACCCCCCCTTTTTTCCCTCTTCTCTTTCTTCTTTGTACCTGCTCAGAAAGACCAAAAAAAGAAAAAAGAAAATTCTCTGCAGAGGTATGGAGGTCGCTACCAAGTTTGCTGTCTCTGATACAGGGGCGCTCGGGCAGTCCGGGTTGGGCTTGTCCAACACACTTGGCAATCTTGGTGACAAGACCTTAAATTCGAGGCTGGTGATTCAAAGGCAGGGACATGGCTGCCTGCCCTTGGGAGGGGGCAGCAAGAGGTGGGGGGCTCCCCCTACCCTGCCTGTCCCCGACGGAAAGCTAAGGGCTATTGGTCACACGAGTAAGGCTATGGGGGGTGGCGGGGAGCAGAGAAGGGCTGGGGGAAGCCAGAGGGTCTCTTTTGTGCCTACATCCAGGAAGGAAGGGCCCTGGGACAGGTTGGGGGTGGGGGGTCCGGAAGCTGCAGCAGGACCAGGAACACTCAAGCTGGCTGCACCCAAGGGCCCGTGAGAATCGGTGGTGGGGGCCCAAAGTCCTGGAGGTATATCGTGTTGGCAGATTCCTGGTCTGATGTACCAGCTGGGAGGCGGGGGGCACCGGGCTGGCACTGCCCAGGCCTGGCCAGCCTCAGTCCTTCCTATGTCTCTGCTAAGTGACCGGCCCAGGGTCACTCTCTCTTGGATGGAAGGAAGTCGGAAAAGTTTGGTCCCATGATCTATACTCAAAAAATATATATAGTGTATATAGCTCTATATATATATGCATATATATATATAGGAAAAGTTGTGATTTAGTTTGGGGATGCCACCAAGTTGTGGGGGTAGAAAAGAAATCTCCTGAAGGGGGGGACGCATGAACCCCTCAGCCCCTAACTCAGGAGCCCCATCCCGCCCCAGGACAGACCATGACACCCCCTCCCCACTCGAGGAGGCCCTCAGCGGTGTTTCACATTTTGGCTGGAGGGTTGGAGCCGGGGCAGAAGGGGGAGGGGAGGGCTGGTGTCCAAACTTGGTTGTAATTTACGAAAAAGTCCTGGATCGGTTGGAAGCGGGAAACCCTCCTGGGATGGGAAGGCCCCTCACCTGGGGGAGAAGGGACGGGCGTTAGGGAGCGGTAATGCGGGGACCGCGGGCAGAGGACACCGCCTCCCCACCCCACCCCACCCCACTTGCCCTGGCCCCCATCTTTTCCAAAAGAGCAGAGTCCTGGGGTTCAGAGGCCAAGAAACCTGGCTTTGAAAGGACTTAACGTCGCCGGGCCTGTTTCCTCATCTGGCAACTGGGGACAAATATTTAAGCTTCTTTTCTGCCTCCCCTCCCGCCCCCCCCCATGTTTTTGTTCATTTGTGGTTGGGTCCCCAAGCACTGGCGACAGTGCCTAGCACACAGCAGGTGCTCAGTAAGGACTTGCTAGCTGAGAGTTAGAGCTGAGTGGATCGCAGAGTGGCCTTGGCTTCTCGTCGGCAGTTCCCGCGGGTGCGTTCCCAAGGGGCAGGACCATGAGGCTAAATAGCTAATGTCTACTTGCAGACCCCAAAGAGCCTGAAAAATACTCTGACTGAGCACACACTTCGTGCCAGACCCCAGGCAAGGCTCTTTGATGATGACGGCGATGGTAATTTAAAAAAAAAAAAAGAAAAAAAAAATCAAAATGAATTATATCCAGAGCTCTTTAGGTGGCCGATTCTGGGTTCAGCTGCAAAAAGACCCCGTCGGGCGGCGGGGTGGGCACTTGCTGCTGCCTCTGGGGAGGTGACTTTCATGGGCCCATTTTATAGCTGAGACTCTGCAAGGTGTGGGGTCAGGGGTAACTTTCCACAATGACCCCTTCTTTAGTGTTCATTCCCCAAAGAGACTGTTGATAAAGGTGGTTGCCCTGATAGCAAAGTACACCTGGGTTTTTTTTCTGTTGTGGGGGGAGTTTTGGGGTCTTGGGGTGTTGTTTGCACGATGGTGGGCAGGGCATACATTCCACCTTCTCATCAACCCACTGACTTTGAATGACACCAAATGAGGGGCCCTGCTGGGCGGTCCCATGGGGCTTGGTGGAGATTGGGGAGGGGGGTGGACAGGAACGCTGTGAACAGCAACCGGACATCAGGCATCGTCCCCATCTCCTGCTCTCCAGCCCAGGGTCCAACCTTAGGGGCTGTGGTCTGCGTGGGCATTTCAACGTGGAGAACAGATTCATAGGACAGGACAGAGGCCCCTCCCCACCGCACTGCCCACCCCGACCACACCTGGCCTCTCGGGTCAACTATCCTTCAAAGCCTCTCCCAGGAACGATTCCCTAACCACCCTCTGTATGAGGGCTCCACTTCTCCCTCCCCCAGATCTCACCCTCTGTCCCAGCCCCGACCCCAGGGGGATCAGGGGCATCTTCATCCAGCTCTGTCCCTGCCAACCCAATGTGGGGCTCCTTGTAGCCAGCATCACCCCACCTGGGCAGGGTTTGGAGAAGGGGGAAGAGGGCTGCAGACAAGACCAGGGCTGGGAAAGGGTGTGGGGCCGCCTGGCGGCTCACCTGGGCCAAGCCCACAGCCCCGGGGTGGCTGTGAGCAGGGTCAGTAGGGGTGTCCCGGATCTTTGGGCCGCTTTAGCTGTACTTTGAGCCTTTTCATGCCGATCTGGAAGCCATTCATGGCCTGGATGGCTGTCTGGGCGCTGGCCGGGTTGTCAAAGCTCACGAAGCCTGCGGAGACCGGGGTGGACCACGATGGTGGGCACCGTGGACGTCCTCTACTTGCTCCAGCGCTGCCGCCCTGGCTTCCCGGCTCACGGGGTCCTGGGCGGGTGCGTGTGCACGGGCAGGAGGGTTTGCCAGAGGACAAGCAGCAGCCCTGGCTTTGCTCCTTTGTTCCGAGACCTCTGGGCTTGTATGCCTCTGGGGACGGGGCACTCACTCCTTACCTTGAGGTTTGCTCTGCTGAGACTTCCCACCGGAGTGGAAGACAGGTGAGGTCTTGCGGGCCCCAGGAGGGCCACATTCTCCCTCCCTCCCCCAGGACACCTGCCTTTTTTTTTTTTTTTTTTTTTTTTTGATAGCTGGCCAGTACCGGGATTGAATCCTGGACCTTGATGTTATCAGCACCACACTCTAAACAACTGAGCCAACTGGCCTGACCTGCCTGCATCCTTCTAATCTCTTGATGCAAATCTTTCGCTTCCTCTGAGATCTCTGTATCTCTGCCCACGGGAGATATTGCCTCTCCATCTGACTCTGCATGTGTGTCTTTGTTTCTCTCTTTGTGTGTCTTTGAGTCTTTTCTTTTCTCTCTATCCCTCTTTCTCTGTCTTTTTTTCTTTCCTGTCTCTGTCTCTCTTTTTCTCTTTGTCTCTGGCAGTCTCTCTACCCCAGTGTCTTCCCCGAGGCCATCAGAAATGCTCCAGCCCCACTTTCAGAAAAACCTTCCTTAAGCTTCTAACAACCCAAACTCCCTTCCACCTGCCACCTCCATGGCCCTGCCTCCTGCCCCATACCTCATGGTCCTCAGAGGCTTCCTGGGGGACTATGCAGGACCTAGAGGACCCTCCAGGGGGAGAGGGCCACATGAACAGGCCTGAGGCAGGGAGTAGAGACCCTGTGAGGCTCTGGTGGGAGGTGAGGCAGAGATAGTGGGGCCAAGGGAGCAGGTCCTGTCTGCCCTGCCAGGGCCTAAGGAGAGCCATGGGTAAATCTGGAGCTGGGGACAGGGTTTGATGTCTTTATACCTATTATCTCCCCTAACTCCCCCCATTATATAGATGAGGAAACTGAGGCTCAGAGAATGCATAAGATGCCCTCAAGATCATGCTGTTGAAAGTGACTGGGTGGGCTTTCGTCCACGCATTTCCTGTTCCTGGAAATGGAGGTGGGGGGTCTTGCGCACTGGCAGGGGTCCCATATTTGCTGTGTGACCTCAAGCATGTCCCTTGATCATTCTGTGCCTCTCTTTCCTCCCTAAGTAAATTGGGACAATTCTCCCTTTTTATGGTTGGATGCTAAATGCATACAGGAGGCACTTAATATATAGTCAAGAGCTGAGACCCTTTGTATGGGATGGTGTGGGGTTAAGAGTCCAGATTCGAGGGTCAAACAGGCTGGTTCTAATCTAGGTTCTGTCTCTTTCCTGCTGTGACTTTGAACAAGTTGCAGCCCCTCTCTGAGCCTTAATTTCTTCTGTCTCTGGGGATAAGAAACTCCTCCCTGCAGCCCAGAAGGCCCTGCACCACCTGCCACGTCCCTTCCCTGCCCTCCCTCCTCCCGCTGTCCCCCTCCTCTCTCTGCTGCAGCCACACGCCAGACATGGTCCTGCCCCAGGACCTTTGCACAGGCTGTTTCCCCTGCCTGGAGCGCCTTTTCACCCAGATTTCCCACAGCTGTCTCCTCATCAGGTAGGTCTCAACAAACATCGCCTCCTCCTGACCCCCTGAATAAAGCGTTCACCTCAATCTTATCAGACTTGATTTTCTTAGCAGTCTTATTTTTCTTCACATCATGTAAAACTCCCTGACCTATACACTACGTTTGTTTATTCCTATCCCCTCCCCTAGTCCTGTGCTTCCCAATTCGGCAGCCATGGACCACACGTGGTTATTCACATTTACATTCATTAACATTAAATAACAATTTAAAATCCAGTTCTTTGGTGGCACAGACCACATTTCAAGTGCTCCGTAGCCACATGGCAGTGGTGGCTCCCTTATCAGACAGCGCGAATGTAGAACACTTCCATCACTGGAGAGCATTCTACCAGACGCCGAAGGGATTTTTGTCAGCTTCATTCACAGTTAAGTTCCCAGCACCCGAAACAATGCCTGGCACACAGTAGGTGCACAATGTGCCTATGTGTTGAATGAAGAGTCTTAGAAAGGATGCGTGGGAGGTGCCCGGCACACAGTAGGTGCACACTGCATCTATGTGTTGAATGAAGAGCCTTAGAAAGGATGCGTGGGAGGTGCCCGGCACACAGTAGGTGCACACTGCATCTATGTGTTGAATGAAGAGCCTTAGAAACGATGGGTGGGAGGTGCCTGGCACACAGTAGGTGCTCAGTAAGTGCCCGTTCAAAGTATAAATGTGATATTTTGGACCAGACCTGTCCCGTGGCCGGCCACACCCTCCCGGCACGTCCCAGGTCCGGGGGGCGGGGCAGGGCCGCGGGCAGGGGGCGCCCCCGGCAGCTACTCACCGAAACACTTGCTCTGGTTGGTAGCCCGATCCATAAACACCTTGGAGGAGATGATATTGCCGAAGGGCAGGAACATCTGCGTCAGCTCCGTGTCTCCAAACTCCTGGGGGAGGTGGTAGATAAACAGGTTACAGCCTTCGGGACCTGCAGGTGGGGGAGAGAAAGACATAAAGCCCCCAAGGAGAGGAGGCAGACCCCCCCAGGGGAGGGGCGTGGGTCCGGAGCCTGCAGCTGGCACTTCCGGCTGTCGGGAGAGGGGTGCCCCAGACACCCAGAAAGAAGAGGATGTGGACGGGGTTGGGGAGGGGCGGCAGGGCACACCGGTCCCTTGCCCATGTGACATAATCCTACACTCAAGATACTCCAAACCATTGAGAATTCTCAGGCTCCAGATAATTGACAAAACTCAGATAATCAATCCCTTCCTCCCACAAGCCAAATCAATCCTCATATGCAGACCTCGGAAAATCCAAAACCCCCAGATAACCCCGAACTCTCAGAAAATCCATCCCTAAACCTCCAACTCCAGATCATTTGCAAAAGTCAGATGACCTGGGTGTGGTGAATATAGAAACTTGGTACTATCTTTGCAATAACTCCGTAAGCATAAAACTGTTCTAAAATAAAACCATCATTTAAAAAAGTCTGGTGATCACAGAATAAAAGAAAACAATAATTCCCCGGTCCCAAGCCCCAGATAGGAATGATTCCCCGAATCTTGTAACATTTTCAAAACTCAGATGATACAAAAGTAACAGGTAAAATAAAGCGATACTTCTCCAGTTCCAAACCACAGATATCCTGAAACCACATATAATTATACCAACCGGAAATAATTTGTGTTTAAAAACACAGATAATCCTCAAAACAATCCCCTCCCCCAAATAATCCCCAATGCATAGCTAGTATGAAAGCTATAAATAATAATAGCATTTTAAAACCTTGATTATCCGAAGTCATAAAAAGTGCCCCAAACCTGCTGCTAACCCCAAACCTAAAGATAACTTTCTCCCTCGCTGCCCCAAATAAGGGTAATCCCCCCACCCTCCCGAAATGAATATTCCCCACCCAAGGAAATACAAAATCCGAGATTAGACATTCACACCCACCCCTCACCTTCCTGATTAGGATCATAGCTCTGCTATAATGCTTGTTTTTAAAATGCAAGTCTGTTCCAACGCAATGGACATTTATGGACCAATTTTGAGCATAACATGAATTCTGCATTTGCTATGAGCTATTTCATCCTCCCCCCTCAAAAAAAAACCCCACTCAGTGAGTACAGAAAATTGTATCCAGCTGAACCGAACCTCATAAGAAAACACAAACTGCATGTACACACACCCAAATATCTACCCAACTGTGTAACCAGCTACGCCCTTCCCCGTCTGGGGTTACCACGCTTCGTCTCATTTCAGACAACCCTCCCTCTACCCTTTTACAGTAACTCACATGCTGCACCCCTTTGGGGGCCACCTCCACGTGCAAACTTTGGGTCTTTTCCAAGATAAAGCGCAGTATTTATTGGAGTATTCGTGCATTTCTTAACCATTAAACGTATAAAGCGATACAGTCATTTTTATTAGGTTCCCATCTTTTTTTTTTTTTTTTTTAACCTGTTGCTGACAAAGTTTTGAATGTTGTACCCCTGACTCTCTTCTCCACAATCCCCGTGGTTTGGATTGTGAGGTTGCGCCTACTGGGGTGACTTTTTGCATACGTAGTGTTGCAGTAGCACGGGCTGTATTTAAATCAGCATTCACCCATTCAGTCCAGGTTGAGGATGGAGTTGAAGGGGACAGGGAGTGGGGCACCCAGGCTGGAGTCATCCAAAATGAAACAGTGACACTAAGTGGCCAAGCCCTTTCTGAAGCTCCTGCTGACGGATGATAGGCAAGGTGGTTGGCACAGCCGGGGGG